TAGGTGAAAATAAGCCTATAATTAATGAAGTCTTAATGATGGGTCAACTTAAGTAAGTATATGGATTCATCGGGTTGATGACGTTAAACCAATCGCTTTTTGGGAGACAACCCAAGGTATGTATTTGTGTATTTGTTTTTTTTTGTAGTGTGTTATGTTAATGTTTGTTGTGGAATAGATTGTTTGATGTTGCTTGTTGAAATTTTGGTTTGCTCTTGATTATATGTAGACTTATACGTTGAAATATAATAGTTCTTTTTAATGTATATTTCATGTTAAACTTGCTGAACTGAGATTTACTTACAGCTAAATACTTGTCTTTTCTGTTTATACCTGTATATTTTTTATGATAAACTTATGTGATAGAAAGTAATTTTAGTTCTATCTTATCCCTAATTTTATTTCTGTTCTGAATGTTATAAATATTTAAAATAGTAAGTTTGGGGGGAAGAATAATTTTTATAAACTTAACTTTATTTGTCCTCATTTACCTATGTTTAAAATGGTTTTATTTTAATAGAACTTGAGGTATGTGGTGTTAACTTTAGATTACTTCAATTTTGATTATAGAAATGACATAGTACATTTATTTGAAATGCAAATGAGATAGTTCTAGAGTTAAGTTAGCTTATGAAAGACATGTAGAAAAATGATTTTATTATTTATTGTAGAAAAGAATTATATTTTTGAAAGCTAGGATTCTTAGATTTAATTTTTTTTAAGAATTTAGCTTCTATTAAACCTATTTTTAAACTAATACTTACAATTTTTAAAGTGAAGGACAGTGATAGGTTTTTAACTTTAGGGAGAGAATAGTGAAATTCAAAATTATTAAAGGCTTATCTAGATATAATAATCCTCTCATAATAATATTAAATATTGAAAAGATCCTCAAACAAAAGTATAAAAAGTGATAAGAAGCTTAATAAAAAATTGGTTTCACTTGAATCTTCTTAAGGAAAAAGAATTGGTTACAATCTTAAGTTTGTTTTTATTAAAAAAAAGTATTAGTAAAAATTTTATGAATAGAGTGCTAAAGTTCTACTTTTATGCTTTTTAAGGATCCAAATTTTAACAAATATCAATGATTTTTGGAGTAGATAAAAAATTAGGATTTTGAAGTTTAATACAAGGTTTTCTTATACTCTAGTTTTAGGTTGAATTACTAGAATTTTTCTTAAGTTACACTATGAGTTATTGTGGCAAAACTGTTGATAATTTTACTAAAACCCACTCCTTCAAATTAATAAAATTAATTTAAAAAATACTAGTGCTACTTGAAGACAAGTAACATTTAAGTTTTGGAGATTTTGATGTATTCCAAAATATGCTTGATTTCCTTTATATCTTGCACTTATTTTTGGATGAAAATGCACGTTAAAGAAAGATATTCTTGTCTTTTTCTTGCACGTGTAACAGGTAGGACACATGGAACGAAGCAAAGCTGAAATGGAGCAATTGAAGTTCACTAGTCTGACGCTTAGATGCCAGACTCTGGGCACTAAGGCGCTCTACCCAAGCGCCTTGGCGCCAGCTTAGTGGCGCCTAAGTGCCAGTTCCTTCCTAGACAAACCGAGAGGCCGATGCCTAGGCACTAGGATTGTGGCGCAAAGGCACTAGTTTCTACAGTTAGTTAAACATGACCTTTGAGTTAAAGGGGGTCATAGGCAGTTCCGGAGGAGACTCCTGTTGCTTCTGAAGTTTTTGGTGTGGGGGGGGGGGGGGGGGGGGAATAGAGAAAATCCAAGGAGTTGTAGGGAGATTTAGGGTTTGTAGGCTTCCACTTTTCTTAAGAGATTAGTGAGTGGTTTTGAGTGACATCTGTAGAAGGGTTCATTTCAACATTATAGGGAGACTTGGATCCATTGTTGGATAAACTTTTCATCTCTTTTTAGAGGAGAAAAACTAAGTATCGTGTTACCATTTGTCTTGTATTTGTTATAAAAACATATTTATTAGATTTGTTTTATTAAATGATGATGATTTCTATGGTTTTCTTCATGCTTTGTGAGTGGATATTCTTTACCTTTCTCTTGTGACGAATAAATAGGATTTGTAGGAAGTGTAGAATGCTTTTAGAATTGGATTTTAATGTCAATGTGATGAGGAGTCTTCTATGCATCATTTATTTTTCATACTTGCCATATGAATTGTTAAAATTCGTTGTGATCTTTGGAAGAGCGATGGAGGAATAATTAGGGTATTCACATCGAACTAATGGGTGAAGGTAAAGTAGTTCATATGGCGATGTAAATAGATAAGGAATTAAAACTTGGTTAACAAACTTCTTTACGCACTTGGAAGAAGGTAAACAATATTTATGCTCCTATTTGTCTCTAGCAACAATATCAATTCTTAGTATTCTATCCTACAATCCACTTGCACTCACAAGGGAAATGTAGCTTTTATATCTTAATATTCACCAAACCAGTTGATATAGTCACATTTAGCTTTAGACTTAGTATTGTAATTTAAGAGCAATTGTTAGAAAAACCATCTCAATTTACATTCCAAACTAAGACTTGAACGTTGTAGACTAGAACATCGCCAAAAGGATTCATTATCTTGTTCTCTGTGGAATCGTCAGTCTGGATTCATTAGAGTCTTATATTACTAAAACGATACGTATACTTGCGTGAGAAGCCCCTGTGTGCAAGAAAACTTTATTTTAAAAAATTAATTTGCTAAGTAGCATATCAAGTGCTTGGTACAATTACCAGGATTTACCTTATAGTGATATTATCTAGGGTAGATCACCAAATATTATTCCTGAAGCAACTATCTTAATCTAAATATCCAACTACTACCACAACTTTCAACTATGACTTCTACGACAAGTTAGCGCTACAATCAACATCTACAATATTTATGACAGACTACTGCCTTCATAGTAATAGATTATAACCTTCATGACATATTACAACTATTATCGGTGAACCGTCGTTGCATATCAATATTATAATTCTATTTTCTCTAATTCATGAGAAGAGTGAACCTACCAGTAGATATTTCTTTTGTTAGAAGTTTTTTACAAGAAAAAAGAGATTTTAGGCTAGGCGTTGTGGAAGTAAAATATTGATTTTTTTTTTACTATATGTATTTGTATGTGTGTATGTATGTGTTATATATATGTATGTGTGTATGTATGTGCACTTATTTTCTCTTTCAAATGGAAAAGAAAAATTAAACGAGCTAAAGAATCCATGATTTTATGTACCACAAAGTGCCAATGATTTTTAAAATCTTAATGTAATTTAACAACTAAAATTATACTGACAATAATATATTACATTAGAAGAACATGGAGATCGAAAGAGGCTATTCATTTAATTAACAATTTTAAAGGTTCAAAACTAAACGTTGACTCTATGCTTTTATCCAAATTACTCGTTTAAACAACATTATCTACTTATAATTTCTCCACCTTCAGCCCACTTTTCAGGCCTCAATACAAGTGTTTATCTTCACTTCTTTTATAGTGCTATTTTTTCTCATTTTTTGTACTTGTATTTCTATCTTATCATATAAGCCTATTAAATGTCTTTATTGCTACTTATTCCAACTTCATTTCCATTCTTAATGTTTTCATGTCCCTAAATATTTATCTCATTTTCATAACTTTCCATATATATATATATATATATATATATATATATATATTCTTCATTCGATTGCATTTATCAATTGTTCCTTATCTTCGTATTCAATGATTTGAATTTTATATGGAAAATATAATCTTAGCTTCCCCCAAATAAATAGTTAATAGTCGCAGTTAATCAAAATCAAATTAAATTATGATTTTGCCTAGCTTTAATTATCATAATTAAAATAAATCATACTCTAATATTTGTGGGGACACCTAGCACTAATCAATTTCAAAGTTTTATCTATTTATAATTAATATATGTATGAATGTTGAGAAAATCTAACGGACAAAAAAAATACAAAAACATAGCTAAGGAGGTCCCACAGACGTAAGACTAAGGACCCATAGGCAGAAGAGCAAGTGTCTACTAGAGGAAGATCAAGGGTCCACTAACGGAAGACTAAGGGTTCAACAGTAGATTGCCAAAGGACCTGCCTGACTGGTGCAGGCCCCCTAAATTGGGGCTAGGGGGTTGACTGAGTGTATATTGCTTGAACCAAAGACTGAAGCCAATCAAGCCTAGAGGAAGCATTGACTTGCCTTTCGTCACAACCCGATTCAAGGGAAGAATTTGGCATCGCTAGCTATCTCAAAGATCCACTTGAAATTCTTCACTTTTGGGTGAGAACCGGCCATCACATAATCACACGTAATATCCCCGAAGAATCACCTCGTCAAGGAGTAAGCAACATGTTGGATTATGGTGATTCAATCTTTTTCTGATAGCCTAGCCTTGCCTGCTGGCATGAATTCCTTATCTGAGGATCAATAGTTAGAAAACAAACTAGCATAGCTAACCATAACAACCAAGCTTATCGAGTCTAAGTCCCAAAAACCATCAAAGACCTTTCGACAATCCCGATTCATCATAGCCAATTGAACAAGTTTTGTCGAATCAGGACCGTTTGATTCCAGTCAAATGAGTCATAAGGTAGTCGAATCTAAAGCCTATAAATATAAAATACCAAAAGTATCATATAACACTCCCATTAAAATAGGTACATACACATAATTTTAAATATTGTACCCCACACTCTATAATTAGGAGATCATTTCACGTAAAAAAAAAAATTAATAAAAAATTCAAATTACTATTTATTACTTTGTGCTTCCCTATGTCATCCATTTATATTTCTAATCTATACTTACAACTAACCCCAATGAAATAGTCATAATTTAGTCGAGTCGTACACTTGTACTCAACTTGTTCATGCAGCGTAGGTGCGTGATGCAAACGAAAATTACACGCACCTCCCATAACTATCATTAATTATGTAAGCAAAAATCATATAAATAAGCATTCATAAGAAGTCGTACCCTATCACTTTCCATACATATATTTCTCCTTTTTGTACGTTGATCGAAATTATCGCAGGTTACTTTACATTATTTTTTTGGGTACTGCGTTCCACGATCTTTGATAGTTTGATCCACCATGCAATGCCATATAAACATGATTAATTAATTAAACATCCTTCGTTAATTAATCCATAATTATATCTCTTAATCATATATTCATGCTCCTTCAATATTTCCTATATAAACCATCCATCCACCTCTCTTCTCCCTCACTCCCATCACCACCATCCCCTGCGATGAAAACCCGCTCGCCCGCCGCAGCCTTCTTGAAATCCAAAAAGAAGACCTTTAAGGGCGTGAGAATGAGAAGGTGGGGATCCTGGGTCTCCGAGATAAGAAACCCTCATCAAAAGAGCCGGATATGGCTCGGCTCATACTCCTCGCCGGAAGCCGCCGCCGGAGCCTACAACGCCGCCGTTCTCTGTCTCAAAAGCTCCTTTGCCTCCATTCTTTCCTCCAAATCCATCCAACTTATCGCCGCCGCCGCCGCCGCTGCTGCATCCAGCTCTTCAGGATCCTCTGCCGAACTGATAAAGTCGCCGCCTTTATGCGACAATTCTTTGGCCGGAGTTGAGATTGCGGCGGCGGAGTCATGGGTTGACTTGACGGAATTTGAGATGTCGCCGGAGAGGGGGTTCATGGATGATGCTGCGATGAACCCATCCGCATTTTTCGGTAACTTTGTGCAGGCAGAAGAGTCGAGCGAGATCGCCGGGGATATCGCCCTTTGGAGCTTCTTGAAATGATAGGGGAAGAGTGACTTGCAGAGGTTGGAACATTTGGAGGAGGAAGTTTTGCGGTGTATGTAATATTCGGTTAACTGGATTTATTTTAAAGTCACATAATTTAGATGAAATTTTAAAAGTAGCATTTTTATTAATGAAAATTAATTTTTTATTTTCTCAAGGTTTCGTGAAAAAATAATTTTTTATTTTCTTAATATGTGATATATTTTAATTTAAATAATATAAATATTAATATATATTAAGAATTATTATAAATATATTTGTTAATATTCTTTACATTAATGATAATATTAACATTTGTTAATTAATTTTGACATTAATTCTATTTTAATTAATATTCACTTAATAAAAAATATCATTGAACAAAATTAATTAACTAACAAAATATGAAATTTTTAAAATTTATTTTATGTGAAAGTATTCTTGTAACATAATAATTACACAAAAATATTATATTCTATATTGGGATAAAATGACGCTTAAACCTAACGTATTAGTCGTAGTGATCGATGTCGCAATAAATAATCTTGACCTCGTCGTCGTGTTAAACAAAATGCTCAAGCGGCTAGAAGTACATCACAACTGAACATTTTGATAAACACGACGACGGGTTCACTATATCATTTACGACATTGACCACTGCAACTGTCGCCTCGGTATACGTCAGGCTCGGGCTTTAATCCACCCCAACATACAAGATAATATTTTTGTGTAAATATTATGCTACTAGAATATTTTAATATGAAATAAATTTTATGAATTTCATGTTTTGTTAGTTAATTAATTTGTTCAATTATATTTTTTTGATTAATTAAGTATTAATTAAAAATTAATTAATATCAAAATTAATTATCAAATTTAATATTTTCATTAATGTAAAGAAAATTGACAAATCTTTCTATAATAATACTTAATGTATATTAATGTTTATATTTTTAAAAAATATATATATCACATATTAATAAAAAAAATTAGAAGAATTAAATTTTTAATTTTTCTTATGAACGACCGCCTATGGAGGTGTATATGCTCCTTTTTAAATTTCTTTTTGGAGGTGCTCTTCCCCTATATTTCACCAACAAACATGTTCCTTTAAATTTGATATATTTATACTCAAATCAAATAGAACGTCTCGACGAAAGAAATCCGATAAAGCCAAGATTGCTAAATTTTGAAAGCATTAAAATGCTCAAATCCTTTAGAAAACACCAATGATTAATGGGATTACAATGGACATCATGTTATTAGGGAAGTTATGCACTAAAATGTCCCAAAAAAGCATTAAATATGCCCACTTGGGAGAGGAGAGGAGGGGAAGAAAAGAGAATGAAGGGAAATTCAGCGCCTTTTTTGGATAGAAGGCTTGATGAGTAGCCACCAGTCTCCGCCGTAGTAGTCAACCACCTTCGACATTTGCCTATAGAACACTATTGACCACTGTCCTGTCATCGCTTGTCGTTGCCATCCATCCGCCGCCAACGACCACTGCTTGCAACCATTTTAGTCAAAATACAACGGTTGTGTCTAATAAATATATTTTTGTATTGTCTAAAGACAACTGTAATTTTTTGTATAAGATTGTAAGTCTGTTTCTTCCAGCCGTGAAAAAAAAAACGCACTCATTTATTAACAATTACACTGAATTACTTTCACATTTAAAAGATCTTTATATATATATATATATATATATATCCCCAAGCAATCTAACATGTAAATTTATGAAGTAAATTATTAATGAAGACTCATGTAAGAATATGGCGACCGATCAACATCATATTTTTGTTTAATGATATTCATGTTAGGTGTAATATTAAAATGTTAAGGCAATTTGTCATATATAAGAGGGCCACAAAATTGTCATTCAAATGGATTGATTTAGCTGCCATTATAGGAGAAATTAAGTTAAACAAATATTTTTCTATTCCTCCTCAAATTAATATATTTAAAACATCTCTTATCTTCTATATGTCACTGGAAATATAGCACTGATAACTCTTATTTTTTTTCTATGTACCCTCCATAATTTTATTATTTAGTTTAGATGAACTTCTATTATTTTCTTTATAATTTCCACTTATTAATTTTTAAATGTTGTAAAGTTGAAAAAGATGATGTCAAAGAAACTCAGTTATGAGGGTTGCTAAAATAATACAAATTCATTTGGATATGAACTTTGATCACACATATCAATTTGAGTCGAATATGGATTGAAAGTTTTGATTCGGGTTGATACGATCAATTTTCCATCGAAGTCAGTTTGACTTACGAGCCCAAAGTTAAACCTAGTTAATTCGCCAATCCGAAGATGTCCATAATCTAAACTGCCAACTCAAAATTGGCCCGAAATTGACTAAAAATGAACCGAAATTTATACAATTAAATAGTATGCATGTATTAAAAGGGCTATACGACCAGTTGGGATGAAGGTAAGACCTAAACATGAATTTATATTCATGTTTAGTTCGAGTGAAGTAGTTTCAGATTAGACCAGTTTTGAGTTGGACATGATACCAACCAGTACACACATAAAAGTATGCATTATTTTCTTGCTATCTTGGCAAATGGAGTCTATAGTTGATTGCTTTAAGTTATAATAAATATTCCTCTCTTTTTTCCCCAAAAATTTACATGTGCTCTTTAGTAGGGTACAACACAGAGTGGTTAATAATTTCATAAATTTTTAGATATTCTTTTGAACATGAGCGTGCACAAGATGCATGAATATATATATATATATATATATATATATATATATAGCGTTAATGGCTCTAGACTCTTCTAGCTTTACTGATGAAATCAATTTGCATAATTACTATTTTGTACAATGTACAAATGCCTTTTCAAAGCATGAGCAAGGTAATCACCACTCGAAAGTCAAGTGAAGTCATCAACCTATCTCCCAGTAAATCCAACCCGAGGAAGGAATCTAGTTCATCGGCTCCACCAACTGTCGTACAAACGCCTTTGAAATTCCTATTAGGGACCAATAATTGGCAATGCAAATGAGTCTCACAATCATCCTGAAGGACTCTCTCCTCAAAGAATGAGCTATTTATTATATTACAGTGATTCACCATTTGCTTGATATCCTGGTTTCATTCTACCACATAAGCTCCTCATATAGGGATCGAGGGTTGATAGCCAAACTCGATCAATTATTCGACAAAGTCTAATCAATCTAGTACGTCCTGCTGACCCGAAACTAATCAAGACCAATCGACTAGCTGCACTGACTCAACCAAAACATATGGAACCGGTCTTACAGGGCCGAAGCCATGTTAGCTTAACTGACAAGTTATAGAACAACCAAGTAATAGGTTCATACATGTAGAATATCTAAAATACCCTATACTATCCCAACTAAAGTATATGCAGAAGTGTAATATCACATATTATATAATCTCTATCATTTTATAAAAAAAGACTAATAGAGAAGATGTTTTACTATTTATTAATGTTCATTTTTCTCTCCTCTCCCCCTTTCTCTCTAATTTCACAAAGGAGGACTCAACAATGAGAAATTTCTTTTTTCTTTTAGGAAGGTAATGAACAGGAATATTGTTTGATTTATTTATTTATTTGTGGGGTTGAGAGCCATTCGTTCAGAGTTTAATTTAGCATGAGCATTCTGACCTTTTGGGGGATTCATGTTGACTTTTCTAATGGCAGTCTTCCTTTGCCTTATCTCAGCCATAGATTCTCAAACGTGTGCTTCTGATCATCTGGCTGTATATTGTCTTCACTACCATTACCAGCGGCCTGGCCGGCTTCCATGCAGTTTCATTAACTGCAAATTTCCAACGCAAACGCCGAAGGTGGTTGGCACAAATCATTTCTCATTAATTTATGATATTTGCAGCCAATTGTTCGTGGAACTTTGGCCATCACAAAATTTTGTTTGGTGCTCGTTCTCTGCCCAAAGACTTCAATGCAATTTCGATTCTAAAAAAATATGACAGTCTGGATGGCTGACCGAGAGGAACGTCTGACTCAGCCTGGAAGGATGAACTAGCCTGAATGACATGCCTGACCTAGATGACCGGTCATCCAGTTCAGCCAATCGAGAGCTGATCCTATAAATCCAAAGTTAATTAAGCTTAGCCGACAAAGCCATAAAGCAGCCGAACAACAGGTTAATAGATGTAAAATACAAGAAATAGCTCAGTGGAACCAGTTTAAAACGGAGGCCAAAATATAATAACTCTGTCCATTATAAATAGAAGAGCAATCTTATGATTAAGGAACAATTTGATCGCTATTTATCATTTTTCATTCTCTCTTTTTCTGTTTTTCTCTATCTCGACTTAAGCTCTATTTTTTTTAGTGTAATTCAAGGGTCAGTTAAGATTCAATAAATTTCAATTCCCGACAAAAAATATGAATAAGAAAAAGTTTACTTACAAAACTTTTTTGTGATTAAAAATTTATTTTTAATGTCGTAATTTTCTTATTCCGATGAGCCTTTTATGTTTTTTATTATTAATTTGGTATGATAAAGTCTAATGGAAATAAATTTTGATTAAACTTGATCAACAGATAACTTTGATACGTCATCAAAAAAATTCTATCATCATACATATAACATCAACAGACTGGTTCGACGAGAAGAACCCAATGTTAAAATTTTCCAATCCAAACCAAATCAAGCTCAGATCAAGCCATTAAATCGCTCTTGAAAGTTTTTTGGACATATATGGAAGGCCAAACAAATGTAGATTCTGATGAGTCTATAGTCAAATTGAGCGTCTTGACAAACAGAATTCAACAAGCCCAAGATCACTCCATTTTGACATCATTAGGCACTCAAATGTTCATCAAATACAGTCTGATCGAGGGAAGTCCTCTAATTCGTCCGATCAAATTAATTCATATTCCTGATTTAGTTGCACCTAAAACTTTATAAATAGTGCCCCACCCCTCTCATGGGGGGGGGGGGGGGGGGGGGGGGAGGAGAGCTTGAGGCTTGAGAAACAACTTGAAGCTTTGAGAAGAAACTGAAATCCTACACCACCTCTGCCGACGTCGACAACCGCCAACCGTCGTTGACAACCATGGACCTCCGCAGAGCACTTATATTGCAGTCAA